GTCAATGAGAGAGAAACATCGCCCAGCTGCCTCTTGCACACCCCCCACTGGGGATGTGCCCGCAATCAAGGTACATGCCCTTGACCGGAATTGAACCTGGGACCTTTCAGTCCGCAGACCGACGCTCTACCACTGAGCCAAACTGGTTTCAGCTTTTTTATTTTTTAAATTTGATTTAAGGGAGAGGAATAGAGAACTAGAAACATTGATGAGAGAAACATCAACCAGCTGCCTCCTGCACACCCCCACTGGGGATATGCCTGCAACCAAGGTACATGCCCTTGACCGGAATCGAACCTGGGACCTTTCAGTCTGCAGGCTGATGCTCTATCCACTGAGCCACACCAGTTTCAGCGCAAAGGCTGGTCTTCAAGCGACCTTCGCCTCCAGCATTCACCCAAAGCCCCCGGGGCCCTGCCCTTCCTCGCAGGCCTTCCTCTAAGTAACAAGCTGCGCCTACGTGACTGCGTCAGCCAGGGAGCCTGCCTCTGAGCAGCTGGGGTGGGAGAGTGACATAAAATGGAAAACTAAAGATGGAATTTGGAGCCATCTCCAAGTGTTAAAACTCACATACATTTTTTTTTTTTTTAAATATATTTTTATTGATTTTGAACAGAGAGGAAGGGAGAGAGAGATAGAGAGTTAGAAACATCGATGAGAGAGAGACATCGATCAGCTGCCTCTTGCACACCCCCTACTGGGGATATGCCCGCAACCAAGGTACATGCCCTTGACCGGAATCGAACCCGGGACCCTTCAGTCCCCAAGCCGACGCTCTATCCATTGAGCCAAACCGGTCTTGGCAAAACTCACATACATTTTGAAAGCGATTCCCAGTGGCCAAAACCAGGGGGCGTGCTGACATACTTCCCTCAGCCCTTCTCCCGTCTTCCACGAGTACACATTTGGGGAGGAAAACACTTACCCCATATTTTAACTTGAGAAGTTCCAGAATCCGCACCGTGTGGGGGGTGCATTCCTGCTGCCCCTCCTCCAGCTCAGCCAGGAGGGCGGGGCCCTCTGTGTCCACTTCAGGAACGAACGCCCACCGGTACCTGCAGGCAGAACGCACGGTCAGCACGCGGCCCGAGCCTCTGACACGGTGCTATTGAGCTGACATCCCCGAACAGTCCGTCTGGGCAGAGTGCACAACTCAATGGCTTCCACTGTACTGCAGAGCTGTACACCCGTCACCATATCAGTCTTCCACTCACGCCCCCTCTCAGTCCCTGCTCCCCTCCAATCTAGGCAGCCGCTCACTCAGTGTCCACCCCTGCAGCTTCTCACTCTGGGCATCTCCCATCAATGGGTTACAGGACACAGGTCCGTGGTGGCTGCCTTATCTCCCTCACACAGAGGCCCGTGCTGTCCCCTCCCCCGGCCCCGGCCCCCCTGATCTCCTCTCTTCCTAGTCTTGCCTTTTAAAGGATGTTACATAGTTGGGATCACACAGCTGTGAGATCAATCAACAGCGGCTCCAACCTACACAGAGGACCAGCAGGAAAAGCCAGATGCTGGGTGGTGAGAGCAGAGTACGGCCTAAGGCCCCAGGTGCCGTAGGGTCTCCTGTGTGGTGGCGGGAGCCAGTGCTCCATTCGGGTTTATCACCAGAGACCCCACTGCACGACGGACCTCATGCTGCTTCCCACTCATCACCGATGGCCGGTGGGGCGTCTCCTTTTGCCTGTTCTGGATGCTGCTGCCATGCATAGCCATGTGCACCAGAGCCCACTTTTTAAAGCTTTTCTTTTTAAGGGCACTGCTAGGTTCACAGCAAAGCTGAACAGAAAGGCACCCCTGTCCCCCAGGCACGGCCTCCCCACGATCGCGCCCCCACCGGAGCGGGGCACACCAACCATCGGTGACTCTGCACGGACGTCACCACCACCCGGGGCACCCGTGGGTCTGGACTAACGCACAGTGACACGAGCCATTGTTACAGCGGAAGCAGTTTTAGGGGTAAAGCAGGCAGGTGCAGGGAATTTTAGGAATGAAGATGGTCTGTGGGAAGGAATGAGACTTGAAGGCGCATGGTGTTTATCTTACCTGGACAGAGGACAGAGAAATGCTACAGGCAGACAGAAATATGTCTGGCCTAAGCAATTAAGACGGCCATAAACCGAGGACAGACAGGACACCTCTGGCCTGAGCAGTTAAAGTGACCACGAGTTAGGCCAACAGCAGCCTGAGCTGAGCAGCTGGGAGGCTGAGCTTCCGCTGCCTCTGCCAGCACACCTGGGAGAGCTGGGAGACCGATCAGCAGGGATGCCAACTACACAGAGGCCCAGGCGAGGCGAGTGCGGGTGCTGGGGTCGTGGAAGCTGAGTGCAGGGCTAAGGCCCCACGACAGAAAGGGGGGGGCTCATGCCTCAAGACAAAGCGGCAGCCACCCTTCTCAGGTGCCCCTCTGTCCATTCAGAGTCTTAGGCTCAGAATTTATTTATTTCTTAAAATACATTTTTATTAACTTCAGAAAGGAAGGGAGAGGGAGATAGAAACAATGATGAGAAATAATCACTGATTGTCTGCCTCCTGCATGCCCCCCACTGGAGATGGAGCTCACAACTGGGTATGTGCCCTTGACCAGAATCAAACCCGGGACCCTTTCATCCGCAGGCCAATGCTCTATCCACTGAGCCAAACCGTTTTCAGCCTAGTCTTGCCTTTTAAAGGATGTTATGCAGTTGTAACCTTTCCACATGGGCTTCTTTCATGTGGTAACAAGCACTTAAGGACACACTTTTAACCACAAACATTCCCACATGATTACTTCCTTGGAATGGAAAGAGGGGAGTGGCCTCTGGGCCAGGCACAAAACTAGGAGCTGAGCAGCCGTGTGAAGCCCATGGGAATGTGAGCCAAGAGGGGCAATGTGAACTGGAGATGGTATGTCCCAATCTCTATATATAAATCTGTACTTATAAAAGGCTAATATACTAAGTGTTCCTCCACCTGTCTGACCAGTCACTATGATGTGCACTGACCACCAGGGGGCAGATGCCCAATGCAGGAGCTGCTGTGACACGCACAGAGAAATGGCACCGGGGACCTGGCCCCCACAAAGCAACACTTGGCTTCCCCCAAGCGGGACACAGGCCCCGCCACCACTTTGGAGTGACACCCCAATACATACAGACGATGCTGCTGAGACCCCATGGCGCAAAATGTGGTCCACGGCCCAGTCCAGCCCAGCCCAGCCCTAAACGGTTGCTGTGGGCGCCAGGTAATGACATCACGTAGCAACGCCTGGCTTCCTCTCCTAGCAACTAGTCTCCTTGGAGTTTCTTCAGCCCAGGAACATGACTTGCTTTATAGCCAGGTGCAAACATTTCACACTGTAACCAAATGTCTGTGAAGTGTTTCCTGTGCCTCATCTCATTTGATCCTCACAGAAGTCCTGGAGTAGGTAGATAGGAGACTTGGGGGAATCCTATTTTCTTTTCATTAGCCGGAAAACAGAGATTTAGAAAGCTTGAAACTTGACCCAACTGAAAAGGAGTAAGAAATGGTGGACTTTTAAAATGACTTCAGGTTTTCTCATTGCACAGAATATAGTCAAACACTGCTGCTGTTAAATATTTTACCCTGTGTGATCTACAATAATAATCTGCTTGGTATTTACTGCTGTGTTGCTGACAATTACCTGAAAGAGAAATTGGGGTGCTTCACTGGGCTGGAAAAAGTTTACCTAAATCAGAAAGCAGGTCTAATTAAGCAAGTTCATTCAATAACTATGAAAGGTTAAGTTGACTAGCACATGCACGGTACATATAAAGCTCTTGTTGGCACAAATCCCATGCATGTGTTTCCATCTGTCATTGTTGACCGTGAATTTGGTTGACACTTCCATTACAAAGAGCGAATAGCAATATTAAAATATCTCTTCTAATTAATTTTCTTTCAAAGTGCACAAATTAGTGCTCCGGGCCACTAGTTATTTAATGAAAAACAAAGACCACAAACAAATCAACACAAATACAGTGAGGACCACCAGTGGATAACTCCTGTTTTTATAAGCATTTAGTAGCAAAAAGCACCTAAATACACACACACACACACACACACACACACACACACACACTCCCGTAACGTACGACTGTGAGCCAAATTCACAAAGCCACAGCTGTTGGTAACGTGAACCTCAGTGTGCTGAGCAGGCTCACTAGCCCCAGTAATTGTGCTGTGGCTTCCCTTATGCTTCTTAGAGGACAGGAGGTCTTGTCTGACTTACGTCTGGAATAGGGGCATGTGGGCGGGTGGAAAAGAAAGTGCCGTGTCCAGGAATTTGCAAGCTGATAAGTAGAAGATGAGCTCATTCTGGGGCATCTCTCCCACGGAGGGCCCGTTTCCATCAGGAACTGAAACTTTCGTTTTGTTGATTTTGTTGCAGTTTCTACAAACGTGCAAAGAAACTTGTTAGAAGCTCATTCGAATCTGCCGCAGTCCCTATGCAGCTGCAGCTGTAACAGAGTGAAGTGCTGGGCCTCTCTGACTCCACACGTCTTCAGGCAAATAGCTTTTTGCATACCGAATTAGAGGAATTCTGCCTGTGGCTTGAGTTTACAAAAATGGCCATAGCAGAGACTGCCTCTCCCAGGAAATAAGGGAAGCATGCATTGTTTATCAAGGATTTGCAGAAATTTATGGTCTACAGATTAAGCACAACCGCCCCCCACCCCATCAGTCACTTCTGCCCCTCCCACCTGCCCATCCCTTGACATAAAAGAAGCCTGAACTCTGCACTTTCTTAAGATGAATTTCAAGTACCATTAAGTCCCATCTTCTAGGCTGGTCCCTTCTTGATCAATAAACTTTCCTTACTACAAACTCTGACTTTTTGAGCTTTGGCCTTACGAAGCTCACCAACTTAGGCCTGGTATCATAATGCCCATAAAAAAAGGTTTTTCCTTTTAAGACATTATCAAAATAGCTGGTCCTTTCACAAGAACTTCAAGTAGATGGTACTTAGCATGATGTTGGGTAACCCTACATCGTAGAGTGACGTCCACTAACATTCATGAGTGTGCACAGACCCTTTCCTTACCTCAGTGATTCCTCATCCTCTTTCAGATTGTCCTCGAGCTGTATGAATGCCTGAATCTTGAAAATAAAGTGAGAAGGAAAAAAAAGAAAAAGAAAATAAAGTGTGAATTCAAATTACTATTAGAGAGAAATTAAACCTAGCTTAATGTTTAAAATTCATATGTCTCTAAAAAGTAGCAAATAGAGAAAAACAACCACCAACCAACAAAATAAAAAGATATCCCAATTGTTAAGAGAAAACCACAGGACAAAAATGGCATCACTTCTGCTAAAGCCTGCGACATCAATCTTAGATTTAATTCCAGGAGTAGCTGGGGTTGCAACCTCTTCCAAACAATTTTTACCAGTCTGGAATTTTCTGGTCAACACCAATGAGGTCATCTGTCAGGAGGCCCCCACTTTCCCAAAAGAGCAAGCAATTTCTTCCCATTCTGTGTCCTGGAATCCTTTCTCTTTACTAAGAGCTCCCTGCCCCACCTGTATCTTCTGCATGAAGTTTCTTTTCTTTTCTTTTTTTAAATATATTTTACTGATTTTTTACAGAGAGGAAGGGAGAGGGATAGAGAGCTAGAAACATGAATGAGAGAGAAACATTGATCAGCTGTCTCCTGCACACCCCCTACCAGGGATGTGCCCACAACCGGTGTACATGCCCTTGACCAGAATCGAACCTGGGACCTTTCAGTCCGCAGGCCGATGCTCTATCCACTGAGCCAAACCAGTTTCGGCTGCACGAAGTTTCTAAAGATTAGGTGGCCCAGCTCTGTTGGCTGCAGGAGGGAGACCCTGACACACAGATTCCCCTCAAAGGGTAGCCTCCACTTGGTTTTCAGAGCTTCTCCATGCCTGCCGTGTCTTAAAGTTAACCAGCCTAAAATAATACTGATGCCAAAGAGATGTATGTTGGGGTAACAAATTCTGTTCCCCTATAACAACATAATGCCTCCATTAACACTGCTGTATGGTGTATATGAAACCTGTTGAGAGAGAAATCCTAAGGAAAATCTCATAAGGAAAAACTTTCTTTCCTTTTTGTATCTATACGAGTTAACAAAAGTAACGGGACTTCTGGTGGCAATCATTTCTCAACCATGTAAGTCAGATCACTATACTGTACACCTTAAACTTAGTACTGCTGTATGCCCCTTACAGCTCAATAAAAATGGAAAACCCGGCTGTTCTCCCTCCCCGAGCATGCCCACACCTTGCTTCCCTCTCAGGACCCAGAGTCTGGGGGACTCCAAGAGACTGGCAACCAGGGGAGCAACGGGCAGCGGCAGCTCATCCTGGGCTCAACCCCACACTTGTCATCAAGGCCCCCTTTTCTCTGACTTCCCAGTGAGCCACAGCAGCCCGCCTCAGCCCCGCCGTTGCTTCTTCTATCCTAGGCCCTTCCTTGTTTTACTGTCCCAGCTTTGGTGAACATACCCTCAAAGAAACCCCAAAATTCTCATGTTGTTTGTACAGTAACGTGCTGCACAGGCTTGTGGCCTGGGAGCAGACCACACCGGACAGCCAGGTGTGCGAGAGCCTCTATGATGTCCACACAACCACGAACTCGCCTAGCAGAACGCATCCCCACTATCAATTATCGTGTGACTGTACATGGAAAAGCATTTGTGAAAGCTCCAACTTCGCCTGTAAGGGTAAAAATGTGTACTTACTAACTCAGAGACCATTATTGGCCACAGGGAAGTCAAATGCTGGGGAGATATTCTTAGCAGCAAAACTCTGAAAAAAAGAAACATCTGAGCAGCAACTAGGGGTGTCTGTCCAACTCTGAGATTGTCTGTCAGGCGTTCTAAGGAAAGAAGATTTTAAAGACGTCACACAAATATGCAGTTTGGAGTTTCTCAGCAGACAACAAAGAAAAATGGAATTGTCAATGCTTCAGCATTTCCCAACCACCCAGGTGCAAAGCGGGTGCTGGGAAGATGTCTGTGCCCTGTCCCCCCAGCTTTGCTGAAGGAAGGGGTTCCCGTGGCTCTCGTTCCCCTGCCACAGGGGGGAGAAAGGCATGAACTTTTGGCTCAAGTCAGAAGGCCAGTGACTGACCAATGACCACCTAACCTTTCTCCTAAGAGGATGAAATAGGAGGCACAGACAGCAAAGGCGGTCCATGGTGAGGGATGGGAACACAAGACCATATAGGCTGGTTGGTAGGTGACACTATATTTTGGGGATGAGAAGTAGGAAGTGGAATGAGTGAACAAAGTAGATTTACTCAATAAAGTGTAATCTGACACGGACAACAATTTTAATTCCCGAATGGGAAAGAATGTTGTGAGTTCAACTCAGTAGCCGCTAACAGTCTTTCCCACTTGTCTACTGAAATAGTTGTTTGTGCAACGTGATTTTTCTTGTAACGTGAGGTTTCTTAAGAACATGCGCTGCCACAGCAAACAGCTGAGTGACGGTCCTGCCAGTTACGGCTCATGCACAACCGCAGTGACGCCTTTCTCTGTCTGTGCTCGCTCTCTGCTGTTTTCTTGTCGCCTTTGTGCGAGCACAAAGGACAAGCACAGCTCAGACACCTGCCAAGCACGTTGGCATTTAAACGAGCGTTTCTGCTTCTGGTTCGGACAAGAAGGAGTAAGTACGTTACTTTCTGTTTCTCTAATGGAAATTTTAAAAACCATCCCTGCAGAAAATACATAGACCAACCAGCAGAAAACGGAAAGGTGAGGGCCAGGTGGCAGGACCGGCTCGGAACCTGGGGACTCAAGGAATGACCTGGAGGTGAGGTCCGTGGGGTTGAACTTTATTTTTAAAAATTTCATCCCGGCCTGGGCAGATGCTAGTCTCTGAGCACGGGCATCCTGTGTGGACGCAGAGCTGACCTGAGGAGGCGTGAGAAGTGCACCGTGGGCCTGGGGAGCCAGACTCGCAGCTAAAAGGGAACAGTGTCGCCTCCAGATCTTCCCAGGCCCCGATCAGGGCCTTTGTGGGGTGACGCCTCTTACCTTGTATCAGAGGAAGGTACAGGTGGTATTGGTCGAGTTCACCGCTGAGGACAGCGAAAGCTTGGCGCTTCAGCAGCATGGCTTTCTGCTCAAAACTTGGGAACAGTTTTAAGGAACTGCTCTGCATGCCTGGAATAAACACAGGAAATAAGTCCCATTGAGTGACAGAACTACAATTAGAGTAAGTGACAGGAAATTCATACTAGTGGAATTCTTAGCTTCCCCGGTGAAAAACCATGATCTTGATTAAGGAAAGGCATGTGGTAATTACTTGTATATTTATTTGTAAAAATACTTATTTCTTTAGAAAATAAATGGTTTTTATTGATTTCAGAGAGAGGAAGGAAGCGGGAGAGAGAAACATTGGAGCTGTTTCCTGAGGCCTCTTACTGGAAACTGAGCCATCAACCCAGCCACGTGCCCTGACTGGGAATTGAACCAGTGAGCCACACTAGATGGGCAAAATACTTGTGTCTTTAATGAGACTTCGTGATAAGGGGTTAGGAGAAGATATGAGGCAGAGAAAAGCGCTTGTAATAAATGATGATAAACAATTTATCGTGACCTTCTAACGCCTTTCTCCACAGTAAAGCTGCAGGAGAGCCTGGCTAAACAACACTGCCAACACCGGGCGCTGGAAAGGCTCCCTCGTCTAGTCCCAACGTACTGCGCTCATCACACCGCGGTGTGCGGCTCAGGCGGTGCAGGAAGGGGTGGGTGGGGCTCTGAGCTACGTGGGCAAAGCTGCTGACAGTGGCATGGGTCCCTCAGAGTGTGACTTACATGCAAGAAACAGAGAACTCACTCATTAAGTCTTTAAACATTGTTTTCTCATGAGTCAGAAGATGGTCAATAATGGACTTCCAACTGGATATTTAAAAGAAGCAGAATTAGTTAAATATGCAAAAGATGACAGTCTGATTAAAAGCATCAATAAAAGACCATGCCCCGTTAAGATCTATTGAAAAGCACATTCTGAAAAGTTAGCGAAGGCGTAGTTTTTATCGAAGGGAGAGCTAAGCAAGCTCTCCACTTATAAGCGTGACCGGGAATAACTGATGGACTGAGAAACACAGGGAGTAAGAGGAACTCCCGGTTCACCACAACAGAAAACAAACCGTCAGGCACGCTGGCTTTCCCGAGGTTGCCCTACATACGTTCACACTTGTGTTGACGGGAAGAACGGGGAGCAGTGAAGACACATATGTGTCTTCCAGTGGGCCCCCCAAAGGGGAACAGGGTGATAGGATGCAAGCCACCGTCTCTGGTGGTGGCAGGGCAAACTTCCCGGCCACACAAAGAAAGCTGACCAGTCTGTGCCCTCCGCCTCCAGTAATGAAGGCACGCTCAGCCAGCCAGGAGGAGCACGGAGGGGTTTGTGGCCTCCGAGAAAAAGGCGTGGGAAGTTCACCTCGCAGCTGGATCTCCACGGACCTCGGCTGTCCGGGCAGGGCCGGGCACTGCAGGGTCAGTGAGTGTGAGTGGGGCAGGGGGACAAGGACGGGCAGTGCCAATAGCCCATGATTACAAGACAACGCAGCACGGGGCCAAGCACCGCTGGGACCCCACAGTAAGCGCTTCAGAATAATACCGTGTCTTCATTGACATTTTTTGATTAAAAAAAGTAGCAGCTTTAAAAAAAAAAAACCAACTCCTGCCCCAGGAAAACCCAGACAGACTGGAGTGTGTGGCAGATGTCTCAGGATTGGGGCTGCCGCTGACTCTGCATGTCGCAGGCGTGGGATTATTTGTGAGGCGGCTTCCCCCGAGGGGACTGAGGACAGGGGACAGGGGACAGGGCCGCCTTCCTTACTGCGCACAGGACGTGTCCATCTGGAAGAAGGCGGGGTCCAGGAACAAGTCCAGCACCTCCTTCTTCCAGGCCCGCTTCGTGTAGGCGTAGCCGCTCAGAGAGCTCAGCAGCTGGGCGCCCGCCCGGAAGCTGGGCACGTTGTAGGCACTAAATGGGGCGGCAGGGGAGGGGCCAAGGTCAGAGGCTGCCTCGGAAGGCCGCCGGACGCATCCCTGACCTGCCGCCCGCACAGTACCTGTGGTTGTGCAGGTAGGGGAACACGTAGTAGAGCAGGCGGGAGACCAGCGGCACTGCCTTCTCCTTCTCGTCGCTGCGGTACACCATGTCCAGGAGGGACGCCAGCACCTAGACGGGGTGGCGAGATGAGAGAAAGCTTCTGAACCAGGGAAGGGAAGGATGCGATCTTCAAGGTGTGAACAG